CCGCTGATCAGTTTCAGCAGCAGCTGACTTGGGGATGCCTGCGGTTCTGAAGTTGAATCTGTATGTAAGTCAGAACTGGTGTCCAGATTCAGCCACTGTTGAAACTGATCGGTTTCAGCAGCGGCTGAATCTGGACGCCAGTTCCAACTTACATACAAATTCAACTTAAGAACAAACCTACAGTCCCTATCTTGTACGTAACCCAGGGACTGCCTGTAGTTACAACTTTTTTTCATCTTGACTATTTGCCTTGTTGCTTACTTTGCACATGTATTTGATCAATACCTTAAAGCCACTGTTGAAACTGATCGGTTTCAGCAGCGGCTGAATCTGGACGCCAGTTCCAACTTACATACAAATTCAACTTAAGAACAAACCTACAGTCCCTATCTTGTACGTAACCCAGGGACTGCCTGTAGTTACAACTTTTTTTCATCTTGACTATTTGCCTTGTTGCTTACTTTGCACATGTATTTGATCAATACCTTAAAGAGCAGAGGATTTGTAGCACTACTAACCTTAATGTAGCCACTGTCTCTAGAGCGGGGTTTGATTGTCTTCAGACCAATCATAAGCGGCGGATTTAGGGCAGGGCGAGCGGGGCGGCTGCCCTGGGCCCCGCGCTTCCCGAGGCCCCGCGCATGTGCTGTGTCAAAGGGGGGGCCCCGCGGTACTCTCATCCGCCTCTGCCAATTATGCAAGATTTTAGGCAGAGAAACTACATGATCTTCCCTATTCTGCTGTGTAATATGTATACACAAGGCTGCTAAGACACTTGATAGACGTCTAGTTATGGATTCAATAGACTTTTTTGACTATTTTCCCAACTGCTTGGTTGGCGCACGTTCTATTCAAGTTTTGGTTTGCATTGTGACACACTGGCAGCAATTTGCTTTCAACTGGTGGAATAGCTTTCTCCAGGGATATCAAATGCAGGGATGGATGAGAGTCTTGCAGGGCCGAGAGCAGCACAATTTCGCGGGGGGGGGCCCTTTGGAGGAGAAAAATATAAAAAGGCGTCAAATGTGCAAATTGAAGGCTATTTCCATATTAAATGTGAAATGAGTAAATTTGCTAGAAGCTTAATTTAGTTGGATAATTTTTATTTTAATTAGATTGTAAGTCATTCTTAAAATTCTGCATTAATAATTTTCATTTGTATTTAAGTCTCCTGCCACTCTCTCTTCTCCTCCCCTTCCTGCCTCATTCTCTCTTTCTCTTCCCCTTAGTCCTCTCACTCATGGAGCCCAAACGGCTGTTTGGGCCCCAAACGCTGTCCCGGCTGAGCGGGGCAGAACTCAACTGAGCACCATGGCAGGAGGCAAAGAGGGGTGGGGCGGTGATGTACATGGCCAGGGGACAGGACCTGAAGCCTGTCACACCCTTCGACTGCCGTCCACATCACTGCCCCGCCTCCCTTCGCCTCCCACTGTGGCACTTGGCTGAGTTCTGCACCGCTCAGCTGGGATGCCACGCAGGAGCAAGCAGCCATTTGGGCCCCGCTCGGCGCGGAGCCTGTTGCAACACAAGGCTTTGGGCAGCCACCCTGCTCGCCATGCCCTATATCCACTGCTGATCCTGGCAGCCAAGCCATCTGGGATGGCAGGGGTTAACTTTTTAAACTTTCTGCTGTCTCCTCCCCAGAAAGGAAGTGTGCAGTGGCTCATGCCAATTTTCAAGTGCTCTGCCAGCATTGATCCGACGTGCTCCGTGCCACTGGGCTGACAAGTAGGGTTACCAGATAGGGCCTCCCCCTCCCCCAAAATACTGGACACACTTGATCGTGGGGGGGCCGGAAAGCAGAGCTGGGGGGGGGGGCAGGTGCAGCCACTGTCTGCAGCTGGAGTCCCGCAGGCCACGTCCCTGGCAGGCGCTCCCTCTAGTTGCTAGTAGAAGCTGGGCAGGGGGAGTGGCTGGGGGTCACTCCCCCTGCTTGGCTTCTGCACGCAACAAGAGGCTTCCAGCTGGGATGCAGGGCTGTGACCAGTGCTGGGAGCCTCTGGTTGTGTGCAGAAGCTGGGCGGGGGAAGTCGCTGAGAGTCCCTGCCCTGCCCCACCCCACCTGGCTTTTGCACGTGACCACAGAGCTCCCAGTGCCAATCGCGGCCCTGCCCCCCAGTCTCTCCCTCACCTCTGTCAGGCTTCCAAGAAAATACCAGACATTGCACATGTCCGGTATTTGCGCCCTCTGTCCGGTAGAAAAATTGAGAAAATACAGGACTGTCCAGTAGAAAACTGGACACCTGACAACCCTGCCAAGTGAGACTTATGCACAAACTGCTCGGGCTATATTGTACCACTCCATACTGGATGAATTCAGCATTGTGGACTCTCACCATAGATCAGCTGTGGCAGCAGGATGAGCCAAAAGAACAGTAGGACACTGAACTGTTGAAACAAGAGGACTAATGCCTAGATCACCTACAGAGTGTTCAGCAGCATTTCCCCAGAAAACCAATGTTGATTGGTGAGAGAGGGTTATTTTGGATGGGAGAGGGTTATAGTGTAGAGTTTGGATGACCAACAGAAGTAAGTGTGTCAAGGTGGGGAGATTTTTAAATCTTCAGGCAGAATTCTCTCCTGGAACTTTTGACAGCATGCACCTCATTGGGTCTACAACTGAAGGCAGCATTGTTGCATGATCAAAACAGGTGCCTCACCATGGTAGGGTTACAGGAAAAATGTAGGGGGTCTGGAAGGCTTAACAATGTTGAGATCTTTTGAAACTCAGTACAGGCAGTCCCCGGGTTACGTACAAGATAGGGACTGTAGGTTTGTTCTTAAGTTGAATCTGTATGTAAGTCGGAACTGGCGTCAGCCGCTGCTGAAACTAATCAGTTTCAACCGCGGCTGAATCTGGATGCCAGTTCTGACTTACATACAGATTCAACTTAAGAAACCCAGGCGTCCCAGTCAGCTGCTGCTGAAACTGATCAGCGGCTGATTCCAGGAAGCCCGGGGCAGAGCAACTCTGCCTTGGGCTTC